GACACATCTAAAAGCTGCCTGACACTAAACCCAAACCTGGGCCAGACAATGGCTCAAGGACTGGAGTTTGACATCTGTGCTCTGAGGGGAAAACTGTAACTTGTTTTTTTCTGAGGCAGAAGAATGTAATAAAGATCAGCGCTGAGGCTCATGCCAGATAACAATGAGGCCAAACAATGGACAAAAAAATGCCAAATCATGAACAGTCCTAACAATAACTTATATGGATGTCCCGATAAACTTTCTGATCCCTGATACAATATCCAATATTGCAACATTGACCCAATATGATATCAGCATGAATCATACATACTTTTAGTACTCATTTGGTAGTGTACAATATTAGGAAGGGTTGATCAAGTCATTAATCCTTTTCCCACAACCAGAACATAATAGTCAACGACAGTAGTAATGAGGGGTTAATATTTTTCCAGCATTTTCCATATGGAGCAGCATAATGTGTGGTAAAATCTGGATCTCCCACTCGCATGCGGTTAGATACAACTAAATTTCTATTTCCAGTGGCTATGTGACAGATGAATAGCGATAACGTAATGAATCTAACTGTGGCAAAACAATGTCAATAAGAAAATATGAATATCAAGAATATCTCAGAGAAATTCATTCGACACTGCTTCCGTCTTTATAACTAAATGGGGGAAGAGGGAAGTTAGGTATAGCATAAAGCAGTCTGCACATTTGTAGATGTTTTTAGAGTTACTGCCACCTTTCTCAAAGTTGTTGTTAGTTTCGGTGAAAGTGATACATACCCTCTTAGGCCATGACAGAGGTGTCATTTAACTAATTATTGACGTATAATCTGAAAGTTATGAAAATATTATGAAGTTTGAAAATGTAATTAGGGTTGGTTAAACATAAAGTTTATGGATTATGTTGTATTTTGAAAGAAGCTGATTAAGTCCATAATCTATGTGTGCGGTGTTTGTTGTCTGAAAATACCAAAGCCAAAGTTCACTCTTTCAACTATTGTTATATAATAAAAAACCTTATCATGCAGGTAACAGTAGAACAGAGATCGAGAGTTGTTTGGCTAGTAGGCCTTTGGCTCTGAAGCAAAACTTTATTCCAATTCAACTGACACACATCTCCACAGAGTAAAGGTTTTGGTCCAGTGGTCTGAGGCAGGTCATTTCCCTCCATCACTGCTGAAGCTCTGAAGTTACAGCCACATGCTCCACTCCCCCCATCACTTGTAAATTCAAACATATTTATGCTGTTTCCTCCCTCAGCAATTCACTTTACTCAACTTTTCTGTTTTTTTCGACCACATGTTCTCATCACTAACTATTCAAACTTTGTCTTTGGCTCTTTGTCACATCCACCCCTGGGCAACTCTTAGGTCTCTTTCCAGCTCCTGACCCTACTCTCAGTGGACAACCACAATCCAGTGGCGAAAGCAGCAGAATGTCAGACAGCTATATATTAACATTCCGACAGCCTCAGGGCCCTAAGGTGAGCTACACTCTAAATCAGTCAGGTTCCCGGAGAACATTCAGAAAAACCATACAACCTAACCAGCAGCTGATACGGGAGGAGCTAAGGTGTCAGTCTTCATGGATATTCTCCCTTTTTTTGGTTTAGTGAAATAACTATTTTACAACTGTGGAAGTCCCTCTATGTTTCTGTTTTTTTCTTCAGGCCCATCCACTGAATTTAAATAAAGCCACATATTCTATGTCTAGACAACCAGCTGCACAAAACAGACATGAGTTGACCAAAAAAATGACCAAATAAGGTTACAAAATCTACAAACACCCAACAGATCTAAATGTAACATAAAAAGAAGAGGAAAGCTCAATACCAGAGTGCAAATTATTTAATTTAAAGCCATTTAAAAGGCAATGTCTATGTCAAGAAAGTCAGCTGCTCTACGCCAACTTAGTCTAGCCAAGTTAATTTAAATTTCACAGAGTTAAATTTAGTTCTAATTGGTTTCTTCCACTCTAGCCACCTTTCCTGTACCTGTTGACGAAAGGATACAGCTAAGGATAATGTCATTACCACCACTAATTATCACTACAGAGGTGATCTGTTGCAGGGAAATTAAAGTTGTAGTTTTTAGCCACATGTGGCCTTTTATCAATGCCAGTGTCAATGTTAATGTCCATTTTTTAAATAAAGCCCTTTACACACAGCTTGTACCTGAATTAAAGTGCTGTACATTGAATAAATCAGCACCTAAATAAATACACAGATTTGTTGTCAGCTGTCATCAACCTCCCAGACCACCCAGGTCCTCTAGTTCAGGGATTCTCAGTCCCGGTCCTCAAGCACCACTGTCCTGTGAGTTTTAGGTATCTCTTTAAAGTCCGGCACCTGACTTGTATGAGGGGAAGATTAACAGGCACTGATGGCTACTGAGGAGCTCATGCAAACATTTAAAGCATATGTGCTGCAACAGAGAGATATCTAAAACATGCAGAGCAGTGGTACTTGAGGACCACTGTTCAAGTTCAAACCGACTTTATACACCCGGAACTAGAACCAAACATGGAGAAGCAAAATTTAGCTCCACTTATTTGGGAAAAAGTCCCAGAAGACTTTAAAAAAAGCAGAAAATTTGATTATAATTCTTTAAGTCAAGTTAAAAGCCATTTGTTTAGAACTGCCTTTTGACTGTAAGAGTTAAATTGTTAACCAAGGTTTGACTTGATTATATTCTGCTTTCATCCATCCATAAATCCATCCATCCATCCATTTTCTACCATTTATTTGCCAGGGTCATGGTGGGGTCAGTGCCTATGCTCATGGGCAGGGCGCCATGTGCTCACACACTCACAATTTAGAGAATCCAATTAACCTAACAGTCATGTTTTTGGACTGTGGGAGGAAGCCGGAGTACCCAGAGAGAACCCCCCCACACACAGGGAGGACATGCGAACTACATGCAGAGAGAAAAAATGCGCCACCGTACAGTCGCTTTTATTTTCCTTCTGTTTTTATTGTTTAATGCCTTTTAAGGCCTTTGAATTGTCCTTGTACTGAATTGTGCTATATACATTAACCTGCCTTGCCTACAGTTTTCATAAAATCATCAATGCATTATTAATATTTGAATAAAACAAAGAAAACTGTAAAAAACACAGGACAGGAACTTTACAGAGTCAGAGCTTTTTTGAAATTCCATGGAATAGAAAGGAGCTTTAAGATGTGATGTCAAATTATGTCTTTATTTTTAGGTGTCAGAGTAAGGGGAACTTAATAGAAATGCACACCACATTTTTCAGATTATGTTACTTTTAAAGGGTCCTCAAACTATGTTTTTTTCTCCTTTAATTCTATAATATTTGCAGCTCCTGATGTTAATTGATAACATAAATCTGAATGAAACATTTTTTTTAGTTATAATGCAACAAAATGTGTGTGTGAGGGGCGGGGGGGGGGGGGGGGGGGGGGGGGGGGGGGGGGGGGACCAAGGGATATGAATAACCTCCAAAGGCATGTGTTGCAATCTTGAACAGAATTTAGTCTTTGCTTATTAAAAAAATTGTTGACCTCTGCAGAGATGATGAATAATAATTACTGTTTTTTCATAAAAGCATGGCTTATAATGAGGCCCAGATATACTTAAGGAGAAGCTTTAACCTAAAAAGAAGCAGGCAAACAAGACCTCAAGCAAATAAGGAGAATGGAAGCAAGCACAGAAACTCTCCCAAGTTGTGCCTTTCTTTAAATTTTAATCTATGGCATACTAACAAATGAGACAAATTGCTTACCATCGTGGCAGCAGTGAGGCAGAGAGGAAAATCCTTGTAAAGACAAATCTTTATACTCAGTTTCATCTGCCTTGCATATAAGTTTATTTGTGCATATTATCTCTGGTTGAACTGCAGCAGAGGTGCAATCAAAACCCAGCACCTCCATGGATGTGAATTATTCAGAGAAAGTAGATGGCACAGAGGGTGTACAGATGCAGAAAAAGCAACAAAAAAAACAAAAACACTTAAGTGAAAAAGAACAAAGCCAGAAGAAAACCTGCTGCTGTCAAAGAGTTAAAGAAACTGAACTTCTCTAAACCAAAAAATGGTTCGGACACACCACGCTCACACACAAGCTAATAAACATGTTTTTATCTTTGAGGAAGGAAGGATTCATAAGTAAATTCCTGCATCAGCAGACTATTGGTTAAAAAACAAAAAACAAAAAGAACACAAACACAAATCTTTAACTGTTAATTTTTTAGGTTCTTAGAAAAGCACCCCCAAAACATGCATCAGCAATATCTCCCTATATGCTCTTTGTGCTTCTTTCCGCTCCTCAATCTCTTCTATTCTGTGCATGCAGGCTCCTGGTTGCCCATCACTCACATTGAAAATCCATCTGTTTTTGCAATCTGGGAGCACAGCTGTAAAGCATTTACATTTACCGTTTCCCTGCTCAGTGCAGAAGGGGATGTATTGAAACCCAAAGTGGAGACTTTGAAACTCATACACACCCTTAAAATGGTCCTGCAGGAGTATGGGGGTTGTGGCGTTGCCCTGCTGGCTCCTCTGCAGTAATCTGAGGCCATTTTATATCTAGTGTTAACATCTATATCGCAGATTAAAGACAACAACCACCAGGACGTAGTGTGTCAGGAAATTATCAATGGTTTTTTTGCTTGTTTCTTCTCCCACATCCTTCATAACGGATTTAACAGAAATGGAAGGCAAATGGAAAAGAAAGAGCATAATTAGTTGCTTCCACCTTGTACAAAGCACTCAGACAGAGAGGCAGACTACTCAGAGTAATATTATAAATGGATGTGTTCCCATCAGAGAATGAAGTGGATCAGGCAGTAATGGATCTAAACCTGGAATTAAGCAGTTAGACAAACCAATGATACAATACATGCAAAATATACATGCAAACATATTACATTTCGTCAATTTTAAACCGCAAAACTTTCATCTTACAGGTGCAGTAGTTAACTTTTGCAAACAACTATTTACTTAAGCTTCTACTCTGTCCTGAGACTAGAGCAAATAAACCGAACCAACCATTCAGAACCAGACGGAATGCCGTAGCGATGTCAGTGAGGCTTCTGTACGCGCTGCTCACAGTCCTCCTCTGAAAACTGCAAGCTCAAGATTACTGGTGTGCTGCAGCTGTGCGTCAATGTCAGGCATGTCGTTGTTTCTTCCATACCAATGAATTTTCCATAGCTGTTAACCTTCGCCATCACTATCCTAGCTTACTACCATGTATCTTTACGGCAGGCTTCTTTGTCAAAGAGGAGCTGTGAATGAAGGACTGTAATACAGCAGAGACCGAGGATGATCTGGGAGGTGTCTTTGCTCAAAAAGTTCAGGCTAAGTCCACAGTTATTTTGAAATCACTACTGTAGCTTTAAAGGATGACAAACAGATTGTTTAACAAATATAAATGCAGAAAAGTGTGTAATCATTTTCGGCTCGACTAAGTTTGTGATGATCACCTAAAATGGGACTTAAATTTGAGGATGTTTGTAAACTTCACTTTTCCTCTCCTACCCAACTAGATATAGGTCTGAGCTTTGACTATGCCGTTATGACAAATGATTAAATGCCATGATGTAAATCATTCCATTTTAGCTCTGGCTGTATGTTTCAGTTTGATGTCCAGATGGAGGGGGAACCCCTGAGCCTCTTATCTTTGGTTTAACCTCCAGCAGGTTTTTTACAGAATTGCTCAGTATTTATCTCCATCTATCATCCCATAATTCCGATCTGTTTCCTTGCCTAAGCTAAGGAAAGGTATTTCCACAGCATACTGCTGCCACCACCATGTTCGCATGTGAAAGTTATGTTCAGGGTGAGATGTAATGTTTGGCCTAAACATTTTATTTTGATCTCGTCCCCTAAACCTGAGCGGTGGTTTTGTGCAGCTCCTCCAGATTTTCCCCAGACTTCTTTGCTGTTTCTCTGATTAATACCATCCCCAGCCCTAGAGCCCAATGGGTTGGTAGATTTGCTTTTTGTAGCACTGTGGCCTTGCAGCCAGAAGGTCCTGGGTTCAAATCCTGGCGTAGGGTCTTTCTGCATTAAATCCTTACATTAGGTCCCCCATAACCCTAATGCACAGCCAGTGGACAATGGATGGTTCTACTGAAAAATGTGTTGAGAATTTTTTTCAAGCTACTGCAGCAATACCTACCTGAAGTCACTTAGGCTGTTTTATCAGTAACAATAACAGAAACTAAAGAGTCCTGCAGATAATTCTGGTGAATGGTGAACTGTAAACTGAACTGAATTCACAAGATCTAGTTTGAGTTTAACCTTAAAATGTAATAAACCTAAGCAACAGTTTATTACATTTCAAGGAAAAACTTTGAGTCTTTAAGTTCTCCTGTCATAATTAGGATAATCTTTCTAAAGCCAACTTTAGGCCTCCTTGTGCACCATTAACTGATTGATAAAATGCTTAATCAGATACTGACAGAAGCACTCTGCTACACTGCTAAAGGATCGAAGATTGATGTATGTTTCTTAAATACTCATCTTTTAGTTTAGAAGAAAAGTCTAGAAGCTCTCAAGCTGTATATTTTTTGGGTTATTGCAATTAGGCTGGTGTAGCTGTAACCTGCATCTATTAAAAGTGCTTTTCAGTTTGTTTTACGTTGCCATTTTCTGCCAAAGCAAGCGGCTGGCCAGCTAATCACTAGTGAAGCATTCTTAAGGAAGTTTGTCAGGGAACATTAGCTTGAAGAAAATTAGCTTTCTGACAGACTGCTCTATATTACAGCCTTTAAGTGACTTCACTGGGAAAGGGAGCAAGGGAAAAGGCGTGTTTCTGTGGTGTTTTGTAAATACAGGGAAGAGCGATATGCTAACCAGAGGGATGAACACTAAAACAAACATGTTCTTTTGTCAGTAGGAAGAAGATTCACTTGTCAAACTATTCATTAATGATTTCAATGAATGAAAGGGAAAATAAATGGATTCAAAGTGAAGGTCTAAGATGGACAGCACTTGAAATTATTCATTCAAGAGTTCTGGTATTTTCAACAGAATAGAGAGAAATAAAGTAAAATGATTGTACTGGAACTAACAGGCACCCTACATTAAAGTGGAACATTTTCCTTTAGTGCTAAAAGCTTAAACTGAAATCTAATATCCGACTATCGAGAAGTAAAAAATATATTCTGAGAAACTTACACATTACACAGCAGTGTAAGAAGTAAAATACATCATGTTTTTGCTTTTGTTTGGTCCCACTTCAGAGTTGTATGACCTCAGCAAATATAAAACATTGTTTTTAATTATATATTAATTATTTGTCAAGTGAAAAACCATCTAAACTAGAAAAAGCTGTTTCGGAGAAACATCAAAGTGGGAATGCTTTTGCTGAATGAAAAAAGCTGAAATTAACTGCAGAACATATAAAAATGTGATAGGAAGTCATTAGAAACTTCAAACTGCAGAAAACAATTGAATCATCTGAAGATTTTATAGGGTAGAAACATCCGGCAGTAAAATGGCAGAAACAAACTCATCTTAAAAGCTGCACAGTCAAACCATACATGATATCAAAAAATGTTGATCAGCATAAAGAAAACAGTGTCATCATTTGAGGATTGAAAATTTACAAACCTATGTGCAAGACTAACCATGAGAAGCAGAGGAAGGACAGAGAGAGAAGCTTATAGAAAGAGAGCTAATACCACTTAAGGAGCTGAATTTATCAAAAAAAAAACTAAACTGCATAATACGAGCCGCTGTGGTGATGAAAGCACCATTGGCAGGCTTAGGCTGCATGTTACTAGGTTAGCAGATGCTTTATTACAGTGTAAATCTTAGAGCCTTATTAAGAAATGTAAACTGAGGTGTGTGGTCAACAGGCCTTGGTAGTGT